ATTAAGAAAAGTATTTTTAATCTTAACATAAAAAATTGCTTTGCACATGGACTATTCAAAACAAATAGTTGATATGTTCATGGACAAATCTTTTTATAGGTTATTAAAAATACTTCACTAAAAATATGATTTTTTGTGTGTGAAAGACTTATAATGTTTACTGAAAGACTGCCAAATTTCGTGAAGATATACACACTATACTGAAAGTTAGTAGTATCAAATCTATAAAGATTTTGAAGGAGTACAAAGAGGTCACATGGTCAGTCAAATTGATCAAACCCGTATTGAGAGAGTTAATGAACTGCCTTTCTCTATTTGATGCTACATTACTTTCATTCTCATTGCACTTTTTTTTCCATCCACCCAATTGCAACTTTGTTTTCCCTAGTCACCACATTTCTAGTTTGTGCTTGTTACAATAATAAATGCATAAGGATAAATGTCCCATAGATCAGACAATCCTCTTCAACCATTTTCTCCAATTGTATCAAAACTGACAGGAGGCATCTTATCTGTTCATGGAGCTGACATTCTGTAATTATCCCTTTAGCTCACTTAGTAAACCAAATACCTGTCACATAAAAGGATTTGAATTTTATTCTATGCTAAAGTATTATAAGTATTGTAGAAATATTCAATTACCACAATTTTATGAAGTTGTAATGAACCATGTTATGACAACATGTTTACTGCTGATGTTTTTTAAACATGATGTTACCGCTATCTTGCATCTGGTGGTTGATTTTCTTCTGCCTACTTTTTCTCCAGTTCAGGTTCCTTGTCAGTCTGATTTATTGCCTTTTGTATAGCCTGCCTCACCTGTAACCCTTTTTGGCCAACTCTTCCACCTTCAGCCTATGCTTCTGGCTCTTCTCTCCGTGAGGAGGAACACATACCCCTCTTCTCGTCTGTATACTATGCTCTTAACTTAGGTATATGACTTTCTATCTCTTTTTTCTGTATATGATTCTTGGATATCTTTACTTCATGGGCCTCCTTCTATCCTAGCTCCATGTTGATCAACATCTTTCTTGTTCCTCCCATTTTTGTAACACCTTTGCTATGGCCTAAGGCCATGACCCTTTGATATTTCTTGAAACCTAATCTGTTATGTTCCTTCTGTCTGCTTTGGATGCTTCTCTTACCCCTTTGCCATATCTCCACCCTTCACCTCCTCACTGTGGCTCTTCATTGGGGATACTTTTTTCATCTGTTTGCCCTCTTTGACTTCTGCTTTTTCCTCTATTTTAACTTGTTTTTTGTTTGTTGTTTTGGGGATCTTTGAGGGTGTTTCCAATTCCTTGGAATCTAGGGCTAGGACTGCTTGCCAACTCTCCTCCTTTGGTTGCCTGGTTTCCCACCTCATTAGACCATGGATACTTCAGTTAACTACTCGACCTATGCTTATTCTTTGTATTCACATTTCTGAACTGGAGAAAAATATGACAAAGCACAGAATGATTTATCAAACAAGAGATGTATGTTTCCAAATTTTGCATCTGAAATCCTGATCCAGCTCAGCGTCATTTGTTTGAAAGGAACATGCTGAAATTGCAATCTTTAGAATGTAGCTGTCAGTATCTCTAAGTCACTTGCTGCTTCTTCAACATTTTTAATGTCATTTTCTTTGAAGTTGTTGTCACATTGGCAACCACAAACCAGACACACCTCTTTGGTCCATACATACCTCTTCATTGAGCTAGACTGTCATAGACAACGTTACCACAACAACACAGTTGTTATTTCAAGTTTGCTTAGCTGTTGAAGCTTTAAAAACAAGTTCAGTTTTTGCCACTCTATAAGATCTATAGACATGACTGTTACAGCACATTAAACAACTCTTAACCTAACTTATGGTCTCTGCATGCCTCACATATTTAGAATTTAAAATATAGTGCTGAAAATGTTAAGAGCACACAGCTTCTGACAATATATTGAGAAACTTTCAGACAATGTACATAAAAAATACAACACTGTTAATATACCAGTTAGCCTAATGCCACAACACTTTTAGCATACATAATGTTTTCATTGGAAAGAATAGACTTGAAATGTGGGCATGATTAACAACCAATGCTGTGGAGGCAGGCTATTCCATTCTTATGTTAACACAAAATGTATCCTATCACACATATAATTTTGAAATCAAGCAATTTAAACAAGATAACAAAAATTATTAATTTAAAAAGAGGAATAGGGATCATCAAAAAAGTACAGAAACAAGTTGAATCAAAATGCAAAGATTTTTTATGTCCATTTATGGAGAATAAATTTTAGGCTACATAGATGGATATGCATTCAGTTGAATGTTACATGTTTTTAAACAGTTTACTTCTGGATTTGTTTTTTTCACCCAACAATTATTTACTGAGCCATTTGGCTTTGTGCCTGAAGTTTCTTGTAAACATGTGTTTAACAAGCATTGAGTACAAAAGAAGCTGCTCACAACAACATCACATATGTTATGTATTTATAACCATGTAAATCAACTTTTTAAATGGGTCATGGACATTCACAACATTTCATATAGTATATCTGCCTATGTAGCCAATTTTGCTGTAGGCTTGTGAAAAGAAAATTAATAATAATATTAAAATAATACTAAAATATGTACTCACAATTTCAGTGAAGTACAAAAATCAGTAGAATAAATCACAACTCACAAGAGTAGAGAATCTACTATGGTAATCATCCATTGTTAGAAAACTCACTGAAATAGTTGAATAAAACCACACATAGACAAAGTACAACAGCAAACTCAAGAAATGATGAATCCTCAACATGGAAGTTCCCACTTAATGTACTTTAAGTTACACAAATTGTTTTCTAATTAATGCAAATTAGTGAAACATCTGATTTTTTTCAATCACAGAAAGTGAAGGACTTAGAGAAATTCTTCAAGATGCTTGAATTTATTTTAAAACTACCTTATGACATACTCGGAACTGCATTCATTACTAATGTTCAGGTTTCAGTAACATATTTATAGCCATTTTTTCTGTTGCAGCTTGTAAAACTATAATCCATAATGGTAAGGCTGGAGACACTTATAAATATACACGTTGTTTACTCTAATAAAACAAA